TTGTTTAACAATAGGCCGTCAAATTTGACAGTCTGTAGCTCCGTTGCTTTTCAACGAATCTTGACGATTTTTTTTTAACTTAAAGCTCTTTTCATAAGCTTTCGGAATATGTAATAATATATAACTATATCACGCTCGTGCGTCGTATATTTCATTTTGCAACTAAGGCCAAAAAATAAAAAAAAATCCAGGTTGCAAATTTGAAATTTCAATGTATTATTATGAAATCTATCATGAAAAAAATCAGTGCGATTGTGGAAGATCCGCGGGATTGTCCAGACTAATAATTAGTTAATTTGTTTATAAGGCCATAACTTGTAAACTATTCAACTTACCGATTTCATATTTCGTGTGAGTTATTAGACAATGATAAGGAATGAGAGGATGCGATGCCAAAACATTCTGGTAATAATGTATTTTATAAATGTTTAATTCAAAAGTCAAATAAACTTCTTCTGTTTATAACTTGATCTAATCAATATTTTTTGACGCTCGAGGGCTAATTTTGTAGGTCTTTTGAAGATGAAAAAAAAGTGCTTTACTGTTTTCTCGTGGAAATGAACGGAAAAAGTTATAAGCGAAAAATGTGAATTTAAGTAAAAATTATACAATTAACCACCCTGTAAACAATCTTCCCCCCATGTTTATGACTGTGGAAACTAATATGTTATTGTACATAATATTTAGCATCCATAGTGATAAATTCAGCTTGCCGAAACAAAAAGTCGCGTCCAACTTTATATTTCTTGGATTAAGATAATACATTCAGACTAAAGAAATAAAAGATATTTTTACTTATGTTTATCATTACGTCTCCTGAATTTTACACACCTGAATATACAGAACATTCTAGTTGACAAAGTACACATCAAATTTTGATCTTCGAAGAAGGTGTAAACAGATACAAAAACGGCGGTTGATTTAAAAATTACATTTTTCAACTCATTATCGACTCCCAGTAAAACCATTGATAATGATGATGTTAATCATTACACAGGACTATGTAATTAATTAATTTTTATTTTAATATATTATGCAGTTGAATTAAATGATTTATCAATTTTATTGTTGCCATACTGAATTATTTTTAGCTTCCTGATCACAACATGCCACTTTAGAGCAATTCGTGGCAGTCTTATCTTCCAAAGACATCGATTATGTGGCAAGATAAAACGTACTCGAGATTGCAAATTTGGCAGTAGGATTCGCCTATATAAACAACAGAAACCATGAATTTTCACCAAGTCCGTTAAATTTTGACGAGATGGTGCCTTTCCAAGAAACCCAATGCGGTTGCACAGCCAACTACTTGGGTCCTTCCCTTCTAGACGTATGTGCAGGAAGTGCTTTCCTAGTGTTCATGACTCTGGTAGAAAGCGTCATAAGAGACACCTGTACTATCTCCGAAATCTGCGAGCGTATAACACCAACCCTGATCCCCGAAGAAGAATATGACTTCGTCGTGATCGGAGGAGGAAGCGGTGGAGCTGCGGTAGCAGGAAGATTGTCAGAAGTTTCTGATTGGAAGGTATTGCTGATAGAAGCAGGGATAGACGAACCTCCCGCTACTCAGGTACCCATGTACATGATGATCTTCAGCAACGACCAGTTCTCTGACTGGCACTACAAGACCGAACCGGAACCACAAGCTTGTCTAGGTAACGAAGATCAAAGATGTTCTTGGCCTAGGAGTAAAATACTCGGAGGATGCAGCGTCATTAACGGTATGATGCATACAAGAGGTACTCCTGCTGATTTTGACAGTTGGACCGCTGCTGGGAATGAAGGATGGAGCTACGAAGATGTCTTACCGTGGTATAAGTACTTTGAAAACAATCTTCAGGTTGGCACGCTTGTTGATTCAAAATATCATGGAACTGGAGGAGCTGTAACAGTGTCTAGGTTCAACAACCAGCCCGACTTGGCCTGGGATATCTTGAAGGCCGCTGAAGAAGTTGGACTACCTCTGTCGGATGATGTTGATGGGGAGAAACCTACTGGTTTCGCTATTGCACAGGCGGTTAATAAGTAAGTGATATTATTTAATTAAAACAGAAATATATGGTTCCTTATAATAGCACCGTCATGCGTCATCCTAATAGCTAATGGAACAAAAATATGTATGTACCAAGTGTGATATGATCTGTGATATTTTAACGATTAAGATAATCATTTCTTCTCTCGCTCGCTCTCTAAATGTATAAAGTGTTTACAGCGGTGGTCATGGTTACCGTCATGCAATTATGAAAGACGGAGTGGAAGTAGCGCATATTTAGTATGCAGGTTGGGCTCTGTATTAAATAATAGCTATTTCCCACGTT